GGGGAGCATCAGGGATGGATGCACTGATATATGTTATTTATGATTCACAACATATGCAGTAGATTTGTCATTTAATCTAAAAACAAAGTGCTAAAATCATGTTAAACCATTTGTTATTACTTAGGTGGCTGGGCAGTTGTTATGTGCCCCTGCGGTGTCGTGTACAGCATGAAAGTCTTAGTGAGAGCGGAAAGTCCAAGGGACTTCACTGACCTATTGCTGTCCTGGAAACACCTACCCAACATAACAATTTATGACTTTGCGAGAGGACTGGCCTCTCATGCCAATCTCCGTAATCCAGACATAATTCCCTTCAGCCCACATGAGGGTCGGCTTTTGGAGCCAAATGAAACCAATATTGCAGCAGCGGAAGAGGGAAGACTTAGAGTTTCATTGGAATGGCTTAAAGAGAAAAAAAAGCCTGCTGATGTGAATGGACATCCATTAACTGGCTCATCTGAACACTATGTACTTTACGACAGATTTCATGAAAACAACACAAAGGATTCCCGTGATAAACTTCGCAAAATACAGCTTGTGCCTGAGTTGGCTGGAAGAGTTAATTCTCAATGTGCTGAGCAGTTGTCTTCTCAAATGAGAAAAAACAACTACAACTACTTTCTAAATGTTATGAAGCCAACAAATCATGTGTTCCTCATGTGAAACCTGTTGCATCACTACAATGTTGCAATAAACAATAGGCTTGCTGATCAACTTACCAAGCATGTTGGTTGCACTCAGGTTGTCCTGGACAAGCATGGCCAAGCACTTTCAGGTAAACATGTTTTGGCATAATGTTTGCATTCTTTTGCACGATTTAATGTCATTAGCACGGCTATCGACTCTCAAAATTTTATTTCACACTGTTATGGGATGCTGACATGCTTTATTTCTAGGGAATTCATGTGAAAGCACAATAAAAGTGGATGATGAGCCAAGTTCACAAAAGGTGGCTGTGAAAAGTCTGAAGGATGTAATGTCAAACAAGACCTGCTGGAAACAACCATTCAGTTAAGCAATGGAAGAAAAGGTGATTGCTCTTTGAAGGTAGAAATGTTATAAGCTGTGAAGAATGAATACCTCAAACATTTTGTAATGAATTTTGATAATGTTCTTTTTTCAAATAGCTCACACATGTGTTAGACACAAAGAAAAATGAGAGGGAACATGTGGCACGTGTTTATTCTACCACCCTGATACGAGAAGATTTTCAGACATTGGGATTGCAACGCAATGTGGAGGCAACAGTAGGGATCATCTTAATTTTTTTTCCCTGTTTTTAATTGAAGCTGTGGTATCTTAACAGATTCTGAATTGCTGTTTCAAGAAAATTTAAGACATCAGCAAATTGCAGGTTGATTGAGTCTTGATTCGCTCTGCAAGAGTGGTCTGAGTGATGGCAGATACAT